TGTGACAAGACCTTCCTTTGGATACCAACAACTTTGACCCATTGACCTTGGAGTTTGACCTTCTTTTGGAAAACTTTAACCTTAGCCATAACTTTTGAACCGTTGGTGCTAGGGCTTTCATACTTCACATATGTAACCCTTGTGACAAGACCTTCATTTGGATACCAACAATTGTAATCCAATGACCTTGACCTTGGAGTTTGACGTACTTTTGGAAAACTTAAACCTTGGTTATAACTTTTGAACGATTGGTGATTCAGCTTTCATATTTCACCAGTATATTTCTTGTGAGAAGGCTTTTCCTTAGGCAGCATTATTTTTTACCATTTGACCTTGACCTTGATGTTTGACTTACTTTTGAAAAACTTTTACCTTTTCCATATCTTTTCAATGGTTGCTGCTAGGGTTCTCATATTTCACAGGTATATTCCTCGAGACAAGACCTTACCTTGGGTACCAAAATATTTGATTTGCATTTGAGAAAGTTTAACCCAAAAAAGTTTAAAAATTCCTTATAAGTCATATTCCATCAACTATCAACTTCAAGTTTCCTATAATCATTGCCTCTTTGTGTTATTTGTCATTTATAATATTTAGATAATATTTCCAACAGGAAACCTTGGATCCGCCCCTGATAAGGCATGGGTTTCGAACTACCTAAAAAGAGACCAATTCCTTTTTTTATATAAAAATAATAAACGTTTAAAGTAAATTTATTTTAAAATATAATAGTAATATTGAGTTTTAATTTATACACTTAATAAACAGAGACAAATATGACGTGTAATTTTGAAGGTCATTTGAAATTTCCACTCGACAACCCTCGGTACATTCCGTACCTATGAACCTCATCGTTAGGGGCAGGTGACGGAATAGGCCGATGCTTATCGAGTGATGTTATGTAACACTTTCATAAAGTACTTAATTTATACGACGGTGGTACTTGATCTTCAAGTTGTGTGCTCTTTAAACAAACACTAGGAGTTGTGATTATAACAGATGGTCTTATAAAGATAGCATTAAATCCCTTACAGAGGAGATTGGTGACCCGTATTCGACCTCTATGTATAATACTTTTATGGTCTAACCGAAACAGAAAAGCTTCTGTCAAAACAATTGGTCAACTCTTTACTTGACCATTGTTTCCAGACATAGGAATCAACAATACACAGGCTCTCTCTGTATTGGTAGACTTTGTCGCCGATAAGACAGGCTCTGTGTAATTTATACTTGATATTTTAATGAACAATGCACAGTAACAATGGCTAGTGTTATACTCGAGAAATCAATTATGTCTACTGTGTTTAGAATAATCTAAATTAACAGTTCACTACATGTATTTCTTACAAAATATGGAAAGCCAAGGGATTCAAAATTGATTAAATGAAGAAGTTGTGTTATGTACAACGCGAAATGCATGTAATAACAACACAAAATGTAATAAACTAGGATTATTATATTTTGCAATGTTGCATTTTGCCTAATCTCGACGCAAAATGTAACAACGCAAAACGTAATAATCCAAAAATTGTGTTATAGCATTTTGTCGTATTACATTTTGCGTTGATCTTGACGCAAAATGTAATAACGCAAAATGTAATAATCCTAGAAAATTGTTATTACATTTTGCATTATAACATTCTGCGTTGATCTCGATGCAAAACATAATAACGCAAGATGTAATAACCCCGGTTTACTACATTTTTCGTAGTTTCTTATATTTTGCGTTGTTACATTATGTACAACGCCAAAAGCAGTAAATTGCTTTTATCATAGTTTTAACAGTCAATCAAAGCTAGATGATAGTATCCGAGTTTTTAACTGTAGACATGTAGATTCGTTGGAATGAGGAATGTTTAAAAATCAGTAAATTTTACTTATTATGCAACGCTTCTTTCCATAAGAAACAACTGAACATTCTTGATGGTACAGCAATAAGTAAAATCACAAAGTAATTTGACATTACTGAAACATCGATTTGATGCATATTCCTATACCAATCACATCCGAGGTTTACATGGAGCGTAGCGGAGTCAACCGAGGATTGCCGATTGCGAGATAAAGATAGAACATCATATGACAGGAAGTCTAGTTCACATCGCCATCTGGTGTTACATAGCTAGAACTCAATGCCCGGAATTAGTGATACTTAACAAATGATAAAGCTTTCAATTAAGAAGATTTATTAGACAAACATATACTCCAACATATGTAAACAGCTGCATAAAAAAGTCAAGACTTAAACAAAACAGAATCCCAAATATCTAGTCAGAAATTTTCTGAAATAACAAAAAATTGCTTCTACTTATAAGTGCATAAAGATATAGGAATGACACAGTACTTAATTTTTTTTTAAAGGAAATGACAAAGTAAATTTACAAAAACGTTACTAACTTAACGTGTTGACGATAAATTAAAAACCATTGTTCATAAAATAATCAGTGCAAAAGTGTAAATGATAAATTCAAGAAAATACTGGCATGAAAAATGATGTACAAAAATAAAGATGTTTTCGAAAAAAATATGATTGAAACTAAAAAAAACAAAACATTCGCGCAGATCCAGCTTTGCATATATGCTAACCTGAGATCATCATATTGCCCTAATTATACATCTATATAAGTATATTTTAATTATATATCTAACTATACATCTTCTCACACCTATAAAAGAAACTCAACGGTTTTTCTTTGTATTAAACTGCTGTCAATTTAAATTCATACATGACAAAACAGGAATCCCACCCATAAGTTGTTGCCTGGATCCGCGCCTATAACAATGAAATGTAAAAGGTGAAGATAACGAACCTACAGACATCCCAGCAAACGATAGCTATCCATGCATAAAATGACTGAATCTTTTTTCACGAAATTATATCCTAACGAAACAATAAATTTTTGTTTGCCCCCCCCCCCCCCCCCAATGATATAATATGATTCCACAATGTATGTCTTTACTTCCAATACAATAATCTGAAACCTTTTGCCAAAAAAAGGCATTTTTAGTAGCTTTTTCAAACTCGCTTAAGGAAGGTTGTACAGAGGAAAATAATGTTAGGCTAAATATGTTTGTGTAACCATTTCAAATTCATATCTAAAGAAAGGTTCACTTCTATATAAATAGGGAACTGACCTATAGGGCCGGGCTTGGTTTTTTTCTCTACAAAAAGCTTGTGGATTTCCGTTCCGATTAATGACATTAGGCTGAATACATGTAACAATTTGTTTTTCATAATCTTTATTTTAGTGAGTAAAGGTAGGAGGAACACTTTCATTGATATTCTGAGTTTGTTATCTCCAAATGTAATAATTGATATTTTTCTTTACTTCTCATTGTACATAATGGTAATGTCTACTGTCTCTGGAATTCTATTCTTTATGTCTAGGCTATTTATTTTACAACACATTTCCGCTGGATATAATAAAACATGCCATTAATGTGTGCAAATTATATAGGCCTAAATGAAATCCAAGGGAGTACAGTTACTGATATATGTAGACCTACTGTTTCAAAACTTAAGATCTTAGAACATTGACTGATAGCAAAAGTACATGTATGTTATTCTAAATATGCATGTATTAAGCTCAAATAATTCAAGCAATACATAACATATTACATGTAACCCAGACAAGCACTAGTAGCACAGAAAAAATAAAAGCAATGTGATTAAATTCTAAGGAATATACATGTATACAATTGAAATTCATCGTAGCTCAATGCTGCCGAGAATACCTGTATCGTCGAGTAACACAGAGTGAGTTATTCTTGTCCTCGGGGAAAGTGTGCTTATACTGAGATTTGTTCCGCCTGACTGACAACTGTACATTGGATTCTCTCTCTAGTGTTTCTTATATCAAGAATGGAAATGCAGAAAGGATAGATAATTGAAGGAAAATAAACAAGCCTATAAAAAATTTAAAATAGTCTTTGAAAAGGCGAAAATTTAAAACTATAAAAGTGTGGCACCAGGTGGATTCGAACCCCGATTTTAAAAAGAAAGTACCACCGATATAACAGTCAGCTCATATATCAACTGAGCTATTCTGACTATAAGATCAAAAGGTATAAATTTGAAGCAGATAGTCAAAATCAAGTTTACTTATTTTTTGTAGGTTTTTTGTGGATTTCGACCCTAGGGCAGGGGTGCCCCTAAAAAAATCCTATCTTAAATTATTCCTTACATCCCAACCTATCAAAATATCACAATTTCATTTGGGGGCAGGCCTGCCCTGAAGGACTTCTAGGCCAAAATTCATGCAAAAATCAACGCTTTGACGGACAAAATGGTGTTTCGGCCAATTTTGGAGGTTTATTGTAAAGTTGTAAATAAAAAATTTTACTTGTAAAATACAAATTTGAAAAATCTAGACATATATATGGTAAAAAACAACAAATAAAGATTGATTTTTAAATGTCACTTTTTCCGGGAAATTGTTCTCTCCTATAGGTCAATTCTTTTGTAATAGTGAATACATCCTTTAACCCAATATTAGTAGGGGGTGCTTCCTCTATATTGGATGATTGAAGGAGGTACAAGTGGTTCCTGTTTATATCGGATGGAAGGGAATAAGTTATATTTACATTCAGTGTAATTTTCTTTATGAAATCCATTAAAAATCTACGACTTTCGAATCTTTATAACACAGGCAAAACCTTGTCACCGCGCGGTAAAATACACAGCAGGAACTATATGCATTTTCAATATCTAGAAACACCAAAATGTATATTGTTTTGACTCAATTTAATAAAAAAAAAAATCAACTACCCTGATAAATTAACGTAAAATATAATAAATGTGCGCTTAAAATGAATTCGTCTTTTTTTTCTCGCAATGTTCATTTGCGTTATTTAACTTTCCAAAGTCACAAACGGCTCTTACTTCAATGAAGCACACCAGTTCTTGCAGGCACTAAATTCATAATAAAGATTAACGAAATAAACAATTATAAATAGAGAAAATCAAAGAAAGTAAATATAAGCATTGAATTCTTATTTTTGGATGTCGTCGGTCCTACAACAGAGCTGGCCGTGCCGACAAATTATCATACCGCGTTAACGCGCGGTATTCAATTTGTCGGCACGGCCAGGTGTGTTATAGGACCGGCAAAAATAAGAATTCAATGCTAAAATAACAGTAGAGGTTTCTGTATATATTGGATGGTAGGGTACAAGTTACAACAGTAGAGGTTTCTGTATATATCGGATGGTAGGGAATAAGTCATAACATAGAGGTACCTGAAAATATTGGATGGTAGGGTACGTTGTAAGAAGTTTAAGGAGGTAGGTACCGGTATATATATTGGCAGTAGATTATATATAACAGTCACTGAAATAAGTCCCCGTATGTTTGTCAATAGTGTATCAGTTACAGAAATACGTGCCTGTGTGTATTGGAAAACCAGTTATGGAGGCAAGTCCCCGTACATTATGGTAGGGATCAAATATTGAGGTAGACAAATTAAATCTGACGGTTAACAGCTCTGGCCTCCGACACTGATTGTGTCTTTATCCATAAATCTCTCCTCATCCTCCGACTCCCTTTCCTCGTCGTCAAATCCGAGCATGTTCTGGTAGCAGACAGGTGTTTCTATTCGACGATTCGTCGAGTTGCAATGCGTACCCACGTTCTCCTCAATCAGAGAGAGGGGATCTTCGGAAGGTCCCGTTTGCTTTATGTTTCGTTCGTTGAAGAGCATAATTGCTTCCGAAAAAAGACTGCCGTCTGCATCATAGTAGGACGTGGTCTCCGGAGGAATAAAGCTTTCTCTTGTGTTCAATCGTGAAATATCATGAATTTGTCCACGTCCATTCGATATACTCACATTTTTAGCAACTGTTGAATTTGAAAGATTCAACTGTGGAAACGAGGCTGTGACCTTATTTGGATGTCCAACTGGTACACCCATCTGATATTCTCCTATGGTAACAGCTGCAATACTTGCATATTCCTCGTGGCTTTTGTCCTCAAAGAAAGGATAATCAGTTTCGTTTTCGTATTCACTATGGATACCCGAGTCCATTCGATTGTATGGTACCGGAATCGCGTTGGATTTCTCTGGTATTTCAGTACTAACATGCTGATCGGCTGTCCAGCTTTTCTGCAGCTCTTCTTTTGTGTTGTTACGCAGAAATTCGAGAAACAAGTCCAGTTCCGTGTCTAAGACAAACTTTGTCCAATATTGTATCCTCGGCAGGATAGGACGTTCAGCATTCCTTGATTCAACGACGACAAATCGACTCTGAAGATGAGTCTGCGCCACAGAAGGTATTTCTTTGTCTTTCAAAAAGCTGCATTCAAACTTTGTAAACGAACGTGGATTCATCCAGAGAACAAATATGGAAAAATCTGAGTTGTTTATCAAGCTGCTTTTGTTGGGAAACAGCACATTCTCCACGCTAATATGTAGGTCCTTGATTATCAAACTCATCAGGCCTTCGGCATCTTCGGAGTGTTTAATGTCATGCACGATCAACACAGATGTTTCGGTTCCTGAAAAAGAGGATGATAGGGACATGCTTATCAGACGTATTATGATGACATTCGACAGCAATTCCACTGAGCGTATATACTTACGTGGTTGAATGGCAGAGCTTGATTTCGAGACAACAAATTGACCTGTGAAAAGAAAATCAAGGTGAGTAAGTGTATTTAAGTTAAGTATGGCTTATTTCAGGATTTTTACAAAGATTGATAGATGAATAAAAAGAAAAAAAAACTGAGTTCACTTACCTCTCCTTCTGAACTTGACCACAGCAAAGATAGACAATACTGCCCCAACAGTAATCCCTAACACAGATAAAACACTGACGGGGATCTCCCACTCTTTCCCGCTCAGCTGTGATCCACCAGAATCTTCGACATCCGCCTCAAAATTCCTCCCCATATGGCTATTATTTTCGGACACTTCAGACAAACTGGGATTCAGAATAGAAGACGGTCTGAGGGGTACCACTGGGTTAGTGATAATCTCGTACGGAGTTTTGGTGACAGATGGGACATCAGTTGACCGGACCCTATTGGAAATCTTGTTAAGAGTTTTGATGAGACTTGTACTATCAGCTGAGTGTGGCCTATTGAAGATTCCATTTGGAGTTTTCGTGACATTTGTACCATCTGTTGACCGGGACCAATTGGAGACCCTGTTTGGAGTTTTGATGAGAGTTGGACCGTCATTTGAGTGTGGATTGAAAGACTTGTATGGAGTTTCGATGACAGTGATGTCGCCAGCTGACTGGGCCCCATCAGAGATCTGGTCTTGTTTTTTGATGACAGTTGTGTGGTTAGAGGACGTTAGTTTATTAACCGATTTTTGGAGGTCAGATGGGGTCAAGGAGAGCATCGTTACAGACGTCTTTATCTCGGCATCAGTGGTATACAATGGAGCTAAATAAAACAGTAATTTGATAATATTGAATTGAAACGTTTGACTTTTATCTACAACGACTAGGGGTGAGAATAATGAACCCAAAAACAACAAGACAGCAAACAAGTCCATCTTGGATGCTCAAAATGAACACTTCAAAGATAGATTCAATTCAATTCCCATTACAAATTCCTAAAATAACTTGTCATTGACTTCAAACCTCCCTCTCCCGTGAATTTCAATGGACTTTTTTCAAAAATAAAAAATCGCCTGCTTTTAGCATTTATCCTCTCTAATTTCTTACTTTCTGTAATGGTAAAAATAGGGCTCCGTGTGCTTCTACATGGATAACACTTAGCAGACTTCTTACAGCGACACGTGTTATTTTTGCTCTTCTCAAGGTCATCATAAGGCTCCACCTACAGGTCAGAGGTCAACGAAAAAACTTTATACAAAATTACCAATATACAACTAAAGTTCTGTGCCTTTAATTTCGAGTTCACTGGGATATATAAAGTCGACATATAAATGAAAGTAACTTTTATTAATTGATTAAACGTCGTCGATATATCTCATTTTCCAGTCGAAGGCCACAGCATTCTTCTCCTCATGTAAAAGTTTTTGAATAAATTCTGTTTTATGTGAATACAAAAAACCAGGTCGGCTAATAATTATAAAATACAAGGCGATATTTGGGCGAGGGTAAGAAACGTGATAGAGGGCGAGGCTTGCCGAGCCCCTATCACGTTTTCGACCCGACCCAAATATCGCTTATATTTCAAGACAGCATCCATGTATATTGTTTATCCTGCAATATATTTTTACATCAGACCTCCAAAACGAGCTATTTTCAACTGATTTAGGTACATCTCTGCAGTTGAAACTAAGATACCACGGCGTAAACATTGAAATGTGTATGACGTCACATTGCTTTTAGAACATCGGAATACATGGACGTAGTCCGAAATATCTGACGTTTTCCAGGCTTTTTTCACGATTTTGGTCTTTTACGTGCCAGGAAAACGTCAGAACCGGCGCCATTACGAAAACTGGAAATTTCGCCGTCTTCAATCGGACCTGATTTTAGATACTTGCGAACTGAATTAAATGCCGAACTTACAATTTATCAATAGCACAATGCTTCTAATACTCACCAATATCGATGAAAAGGAAAGATCACTCTACATTTCGATACAGGTCTTGCAAGATTTTAAAATGCACGAATTGTAAACAAAATTCGAGGGTCTGATAAAATGTTTTCACCGGGCTGTATATTTTGTAAACAAACCATAAAAACGATGTTGATGAGTACTAAAGGCATTGTTCTATTGATAAGTTGTGAATTCAGCATGTAATTCGGTTCGCAAGTATCGAAAATCAACCCGAGAATGCCGCCTCCAGTTGGAGGCGGCGAATTTCCAGTTTTCGTAATGGCGCCGGTTCTGACGTTTTCCTGGCACGTAAAATATCAAAATCGTAAAAAAGCCAGGAAAACGTCAGATATTTCGGACTAACATGGACGAGGCTTTATTAGGGCATTGACCGAATAAAGCTTTGGTTTGTTAGGTTACCTTTATTAGGTCAATGCAAGGGGTAGTTGCAGGATAAAGGGTCATAATTAGTACCCATATTCCAACAGATATTGTTTGAAGACCAGGTCTCAAGAGACGACTTGGACATTGTTTATGTGGAAGTTCAGCATCCTTTATAATATCAACTTCAGAGTACTTGTATCAGAATAATTTTAGACATAGTAATAGATGACAAATCACAAGATATGAAAATTTACGAATTCCAATTTCATTGAGAAAGCAGTTGTCTATGATGTCAAAAAGCCTGCTGTTTAATAAGATGTGAGGATTGATTTTAAATAAAAAGCATAGAAAAGTCATATGTTTTGATGCTTTTGATGTTTGAAACATATTGACAGTTTTTGAAAATTTTCTTTGCAATTTTTTAGAATCCATATTTAATTTACACCAGTTTTTGAATAGGTAGTAAGACATTACGTCTGAAGTGTGGATAAACTTCCTTACTTTAAACCGCTTCATTTCTTCTTTTTTTTCAACCGCACTCAAGTACGCCGATCTCTTCACTTAGTTAAAACAAACTACACTTCTTATATAACCCCTTCACTTAGTTAAACCAAACTTCACTTCTTATATGACCAATTCAAATAATTCAACCAAACGTCACTTCTTTATACCGATTTCTTCATTCGGTTTAACTAAACTCTAATAATAAGCCAACCTTTACATCGTTATAACAATTCTTACTTTATCACATCGACCTCTATCTAATTATACAGCATCCTTAACTTCAATATACCAACCTTTACTCTAACCTATTCACTCCACCTTTCAATAAATCAACCTTTACTTTAACCTATTCACTCCACCCTTCAATACACTTAACCATCACTTCATTTGCCGTTTTTCATTAAATCATATTACCCTTTCCAGTATTAAAAGTACATTTGTACTTATACAAAACATGACGTCATTATAATGTACCGACTCTTCCCTAATCATAAAATCCTTTTCTCTCACCTCATTTTAATGTATCAATATTTACTTTATTATACCGAAATTCCTTACAAAACAAACTTTCATTTCTTTGTACCGACTTTCACATAATGATACCCACTTCCTCCTAACAAAATTCACCTAGTTATACCAACCATTACATCGTATGTCCCTGGCTTCACGTCCCTAAATTTGACGTAGACCTTTAAGAAAAAAAAAGGAAATATGTTAGAATTTAAGATTTATGTTCAGATATCGGGATGTTTATGTACTTCATCGATGTAAGAAGTTAATTAGCGAAAGATAAAAAAAAAGAAGAAAAAAAAAATACAGACTGCATATCGAATTTGTGTACTACGTCATTAAACCGTCAAATGCATATTGCTCGATAAACTGACTTGCTTTATAAGCTAATTTCCGCCGGTAAAGTTAAAGATTATAAAGGGCGTCCAATTTCTCTACTTGTTTATGTCACACTTACCCACGGGGAGCGGACGTATTCCATCCAGGAGTGGGAGGTGGTGCGATAACTAGCGCCCCTGGTGGTGAGTTGTGTGACTCTCCGGAGTTGTATGTTGTAATACTTTATTCCATAGTTCTCTGGAGCTGACTGAAACTGAACCTCCACGATTCGGTCGCGTGACTTGTTTCTGAATAAGATCTCACTGTACCAGAGCGAGGAGTTTTCGGTTGGAATTTCTTTAAAAAAAATTATGTTTCTATAACTATAAACGTGCATGCGATGTAAAACCAGGCTTAAATGAAAATTATCACATTTTCTGATTTCCACTGATTTAAAAAGAGAACTTTCTTCTCTTTCTTTTGATACATAGAATTACGTTCAGAAACAATGACAATTACATAATGAATCACCATTAAACTTCTTAAAAACTCACATAGACATTAGAGTATTTGAGTGGATAACGTCGCATATTGTTACATGTACGACTTCGCTATAATTATTTATAAGTATACACTGAGTACACGTATTAAATTTTCCCCACTGATATAAGCAGATATTAATTAATAAAACTTTCACAACTTTATTTTCAGTTTACAATTCATAATGGTATTTATCATGCACTGATTAATCTGTCAGACACCTGATACTCTTCTTGGGCATCGGGGGAAGGAGCGATTGTTAATAGTCTGGTAAATCAATATTATAAACATATGCAAAAGAAGATGTCAAGGGGTCTTAACGGTCATCTGCGTGAAAAAATACTGTAAAGGAACCAGGGATTACGAGTATAAATAAAAAAAAATAAACTGATAGATGAGTTTCCCAAAATCAAAATAAGATGGTCAGGAATCAGTAAAATACTTAGTCTTATACTCAGTTTAAAGTTGATCTATTTACTTGCCTGTACTTGCCAGTGCTAATACATTCCCATAACTTGACATTATTACCATGCAGACCAATCAAAACAATAATGAACACAGAACAGAGAAGATTTTAAAAAATGTACGCATTTTCACTATAAGATCAACGGATCCCGACCCTAACTCCAGAGCCCCCTACCCCGAGGATATGAATTTTATAATTTAGAGGACTCAATGCTTATTACATCATGCCAACAGTTTGATTGCTTGAGGTCCATGGTAAAGAAGAAGATTTTTGAAGATTGAATTAATTTTGATGCTTTTTGCCCCATCCCTTAGGCCCAAGGGGAGCGAGACCATGAAAATCAATTCTTTTATTCACTTTTATACATGAATGCACATTGGTTAAAATTGGTTCCAGAGTAATCCTAGCCTGGATCAAGCTTCTAACTGTAGGAAAAGCTGCTGGTTTTGGAAGTTGTATCTAATCCAGGTTTATTCCGGCGTGGATCGAGCCTTTAGATGGAGAGGACTTTGCTTTATCTTACCACAGGAGGTGTTTTACCTTAATTCGGTTTATCCCGAAGTGGATCAAGCGTCTAGCTAGAGGAGAAACCGGTGACTTTGGAGATTTATTTATCTTGCTTTATCTCTCGGTGGATCAAAATTCTAACTATATAGAAGAGAAGTTGGAGACTTGGGAAGTAGTACCTTACCTCGGTTTATTCCGGCGCGGATCAAGCTTCTAGCCGGAGAAGAAGATGCTGATTTGGGAAGTTGCCACACAGTGATGTTGGCGGACATCCGAAGTTTCAGCGAGACATTTATTCCTCTCTGAAAATGGAAAACACTGAATTAAAATTTGTTTGGGGCAATACTTATATAAATTATCCTTCCAATCTTTATATGATTTGTACAGTTTTTTTTTAAAAATTACTTTATTCACTGAATAAGTGTAAAAAAAAAATGTAAATTCGAGTTTGTACGGCTTAACTTATATGATAATTTCAGAGCAAAAATATTTTTTCCTGATCGGTACATTAATCCTGATGTAAATTTTGAATTTGCGCGGTGGAGTGGAAATAAACACAAAATGTACATAATTATACGTACATGTACATTAATCCACTTAATCATTCTACAGAGGTTTTTAATTGTGGTTAGTTATTAATTACTTTGTTTTTCGTCGATGTACAGATATAATAGTGTTGTACTTTGCATGCACTATGCCTAAATAGTAGTCAGGGTTTGACACTTGTTGCAGGAGCCGGACGCTAACTTATCTAAGAGAGAACCGGTACCTATGTTCATCATTGACCCGTGACTCATATACTAACCATTGAACCGGGACCTATGTTCATCATTGACCCGTGACTCATACAATAACCATTGAACCGGGACCAATGCTCATCATTGACCCGTGACTTATACACTAACCACTGACCTATTACCTATGCTCATAATTGACACCTATACACCTATTATTGACCCGTGACTTACAAACTAACCATTGAACCGGGACTTATACAGTGACCATTGACCTGTTACCTATGCTCATCATTGACCTGTGACCTTCACACTAACCATTGACCCGTGATCTATACAAATTATTGACCATAACCTATACACCAACAATTGACTTGTCAATATTGACCCATGACCTATACTCTAACCACTGAGCTGTTACCTATGCTCATCATTGACCTCTGACCTACACGTATACGTACACTCAATACTCACCCGTGAACTGTTAACACATTGCGCATTGGCTCATGACCTATTCTCTCATTATGGACCTTTAAACTCACCATTGAATTGATATCTGACAACGTCCCATTATCAGAGAGAGTCACCACCATACAACGTGTTCCTTCAATCGACTGGATCCACACCTCAAATCCGTGGATTTTCGTCGTAGAATCTGTAAGAGATTACAGGGTTCGAAATTAGCTCATGTCCGGAAGTCCGAGACTAGTAAAAATTGAGTCAAGTTCATGTACTACTAGTCCGTACGGACTTGTGAAAAAGCCGACTATAAATTTAATCTTAGTATTTTTTTCCTCAATGTTTTCTTTCAAATGAATGCCTGTTTAAGCAAAAGAGCCTGCAGTTTTATCAACAATAACAAGCTTTAGATAAGTTGCTAGCATTACCAGAGACGATTTTGCCAAAAAATTAAAACAACAGATTTTCACGAGAAGATGGCCGTCAGGGAGAGGTTAACTGCCAAGTGCATTATTATTAACATTCACAAAATCGTCTTAGATTATTTAAATTATAGTAAATGTATTGAAAATTTCTGTATGTTTTAAAGCTGTTTTTACAGCCTGCAAGTTCCCAAAATCGTAACATATATATATCTTCAAGCAATAAAAAGTTATAATTAAGTTATTGTTGCAACACATCTGGTAAATGCTCACAGATGATTTGTAAGGATACAAAAGGAATAAACATTATTAGAAAATTATTTAATCACACAGATCACAGTTATGAAGACAATTGTCATTCTGTAATATTATAGACATAATTAGGTCAGGGGTGAGACTAATACCAGCAATGCCCCAAAAATGTCAACCAACCTTTTTCTCCATTTTTTTTTTCTTTCTCACTCAGTGATACAATCAATTCATAAAAACATTTATTCATTGTTTTAATTGTTTATTGACACTTTTTGATACTCTGTTTACTGACATTTCTGGGAATTTTTTTTTAAAAGTATATCACTGCTAAGTTTAACTATTTTTTTTCATAATGATCTAATTAAAAAAAAATATTTATATGTTTAATACCTTGCAATTTTTTTTTAGCTACAGATGAATTAGAATTCAATTTTGTATTCAAAAAATAATTTTATCTCATAAAAGTAGATCGGGGGGGGGGGGTAAAGTAACAAAGAAGGTTTATCATGGGTATGTTATCTTTATCGTAAGACAAAAGGTGGACTAGTCAAATGCTTTGCAGACTAGTGAAAACTGGAAGACACAAGTCCGTACGGACCAGTGCTTACAAAAGTTAAATTCGAACCCTTGATTAAAGTTCACTGACCCTCTGATAAGAGAGATAACTCTCACTGGGATAAATGACTATTGTTCCTGTTCAAAATTGTCTTAGTAAAGAGTCATTTCTGTCAAATTTTGCCAAGACTGGCAAGATATATTGGAATTTGCTCTAATTATTTCTACATAAGATTTCTTTTGGAAATCATTTTCCCACTAACATAGCATTAATTTAATGGAGTCAGTCCGCGAACTTTTTGATAATTCATGAAATCCAAACTTACAGTAACTCACGTCTCTCAAACAAGTTCTCTCAATGTTAAAAAATAAACGAACAAAGCGTCCCCATCATATCATTAGTATATATATATATATATATATATATATATATATATATATATATATATATATATATATATATATATATATATATATATATATATATACGTTGATAAGTTAAATTCTTGGTACAGTAAAAAATACTTAAATAAATGAAAACAGAATGCTACAGTCCAAATTAAATAAAATCTTTACTGTTAGCGCTTTCAGCCATGTTGGCTATAACTGTTATAACTGTCTGAAGAGCCAACATGGCTGAAAGCGCTAACAGTAAAGATTTTATTTAATTTGGACTGTAGCATTCTGTTTTCATTTATTTAAGTATATATATATATATATACAACTTTTTAAAATTAAAATGATGTACATCTTTTTCAGCTGTGATAAGTAGAACATTCTTTTTATCTTTTACTTTCCTTTCCTTCTTTATTCAAACATAATAAAACAATTACTTGAATCTGGTCGAATGATGACGTCAACTTCCGAGTACCATTTGACTTCCGGTCCTCTCCCGTAACTTTTGTCCGTGGTTGTTATTGTGAGGTTAGGAGCCGCCATCGTAGTGTTGCCATGGTAATAAAGACCCGGATACTCCCTCTGAAGGAACTCTGCTGTGCATTCTACTTAAATAAATTGATCTGTTGAAGGTGAAAAAAATTAACCCCCCCCCCCACCCCAAATCTTTACCAGACTGTCACTGAACTCTTACTAAGGACAAGCATTGTTTCTGATTTAGTTTTAAAAACTGCCCCCCCCCCCCTCCCAAGTAATTGACAGTGATAATCCTGTATCCACCCATGGGAGTTGTAATTTAATACAGAAATCAAGTTCATTTGATGTGTATCAATTTTGAAGAATTTGCTTTTATGTGTTGGTGTAGAATTATTTGGTAAACAAAAAAAGAAAAAAAAAAAAAAAAAAAAAAAAAAAAAAGAAAATAAAAAAATAAAGAAAAGAAACATTTTGTTTTACTAACCAATAGCTCTGGGATTCTCTTGAGATAACAACTATATTAGAGAGAGAGAGAGAGAGAAACAGAGAGAGAGAGAGTTTCATACCTGTATAGAACACCGCTCTGCATTTCTCTCCAGACTAAAAACACAAAAGTAGATAGTGAAACATGAATAAATTAACGAACGAATTAATATCATTTTCATATCTAATTTCTAAAGTCTGTCTATCATTAAAGTAAAAATTGTTTTTGCATCACTTATCCAACATATATAGTCAAAAATACTATTTGAAAAAAAAAAAAAAAAAGATTATTATTCCTTATTTAAGGAAGCCGGATGTCTACAACAACACATTCATCCAAAAAATGATATATGATTTTTCACACCATAAACAATTGTTAAGTACCCCCCCCCCCCCAACACTCACACACAAATATGTTTTATGCGATTTCTTATAATTTTATACAGAGAGTTTTATTTTATTTAAAAAGGTTTTAATACTCTAAAAATAAGCACATCCGCTGCACCCCCTTAATATTTTGTTTTACTTTTTACTTTTTAAGCTGTCAAGCAAGGTGTCTAAGTAACAACTATAATCTTTTATAAAATAAATATAAATAAAAACTTCCTTAATATAAGGACCACGGAATAAGGGTGGGTTAATAAAAGAAGACAAGTTTACTTTTGCAACAGTAGTTTTCGTTTGTTTGTTTGTGTGTTTTGTTGGGTTGTTTGTTTTTTGTTTCGTTTTATGTTATAATCGTCAAATTAAATAGAAGGCTAAGACAAAAGGCTAAAATAGGCTGAGCCTGCTATCCAAACCCATTCACTTTTGTAAATAAAAAATGTTTAAATTAAATTAGATAAGGTAGAATATCTCTTCAGAAATCACAGCGCTTTATAATATTTAAGTGCAAATTCTCAGAATCTAACATGATTTCCTCAAAGAGAAAAACCACAAAAACATCATAGCGTATCATTATTTAAAATCAGTGAACATATACGTCACAGGCAGCGATTTTCAGTTCGCAGAATAATATTATGGACTATCTTAAGTACTTATTATTGGTGTCAAGTGCCAGTATTTCCCGTTGCTGCAAATCAGCAAAATTAAAGGAAGCAAAAACACAATTCCAAGGACTTTTTTTTGAGCACTTTTGCTTTCTTTGTAATAAACATATGATTTTATAGTAAATAGAATTTTTTGTCAGTATCTAAGAACTTGTCTGCTTTTTGTCTGTTTCGTTAAATTTTTCCCCAATGATTTTAATTTTTTTTTGTCTTTCAAACATAAATGCTGACGGTGTAGTTATTAACTACTATATAAATTCACTAATCATAAGCAGATCATCGCAGGCCCTTAAGAAATGGGGGTGGGTGCATCCAACATATCCTAAACAATGAATTTATAAATATGCAATTGCTCCCCGTCAACAAAAACAACAACATTCAAAATAATAACAATGATGATGATTATGATAACCCGATGATCCTTTTATTTTCTTCTTTGCTCAGCAAGGAATTTCTGGCTCCCCCCCCCCCCCCCATATTGCTTCCGTGTCTGTATGGCACAAGTATTATTTCTTTAAAAAAAATGTTTTTTTTAATATATTAATATATATTTTTTTAATATATTAATTCTTATATCGTGATCAGACAACCCCCTTTCCCCGCTTGATCCGCCTTAGGTTTCTACTGACTTACCTGGACTAAGGTACAATACTTCTCCGATACCCTTCTGGTATCAATAACAGCGATACAGCTCACAGTCAAGAGGAACACACGAGTAAGTGGTCCCATCTCCTCTCCCGAGCATTTCCAATGAATAATAAAAGCAGAAAAAGTAGAGCGTCATTTATCTGATTTAAACTCTTGAGTACCGCGGCCATTTATCACAAAAGAATCTACTGTGGCGAGGATGAGTACGACGGTTATATCATAAATGAACAGCGTTACTATCAACGGAAAGGGCCGAGCAGCCGGAAACGTCGCATAGAGCTGCTAGATCGGACGGAAAAACACTTCTACCTTATCTCAGCAACTGTACGTAGTAATTAATCAAAGTACTGAAATTATTCAAAGGACTGAAAGTATTCAATTTTCCACAAGAAATTAAATTTATAACTAAATTGCACTCAATTTCACCATACCTTGCATGGCAAAATTTTATAAAAATGGCTTTCAACTTGATTGATTGATTGTATATTGTTTAACGTCCAATTCGAGAATATATCACTCATAGAGAGACGTCACCATATACCGGTGAAGGGCTTCAAATTTAGACCTATACTCGGAATCCAGAGCCATTGAGCAGTGAGGGTTCTTTAACGTGCCAACGCCTACCGTGACACGCGACCTCGGTTTTTAAGGTCTCGTCCGAAAGACCCATGACTTCCACTTCTAGTGCCAGGCGCTAGGCGAAGGAACAGTCACTGCCTATGTTTACGTCTTAGGTTTGACGCGGCGCGGCGAACGAGAATCGAACCCGGGCCTCCCGATCACGAAAGGAGCGCCCTACCACTAGACTACCGTGACCGGTCTTTCAACTTGATAATTTTATTAAGGAATAATAGTCATTTATCTCAGTGAGAGTTATCTCTCTTATCAGAGGGCCAATGAATCTATAAGCTTTGGTTTTGACACCCCATATCAGAAAAAAAACAAACAAATTAAGGACTCGTGAAATTGATAATTCTGGTCGAAATCTATGAATTCTGTCAATTGCTCTAAACATTTGCCTACTATATATCTTATAAGGTATATATTAAGCATTTACTATGTTGATTTTGCCAAAGAAAAGATATTTCTGCGAGAAAAAATAAATAATAATTCAAATCCTTGTAATGACGTCATTTTCATGAGTTTAAAGTCTGTTTTTTAGTTTTTGGCTTGTTTGTTTTTTGCGAATAGGTAGGTAGGTTTTTGAAAGATGGGTAGAGAAAAAACAGGAAAAAACTTAGAAAAGTCGAATGCAAAATATTTTTGATCCTAAACATAAACCCTGGGTTCATAACTTAAGAATCAAAAGTCTGAAAGGCTTCAATGGCTTCGAACATGAAAAACAATTTCATAAGTTCTTTTGAATTAAATATAAAATTATACATAGTTAGCGGAAGACCACAATTATAGTTGCAAATGGTCAGAATTAAATATGGTATCAATTAACGAGACGCATTCGAAAGTAAACAAATATGGACGTCTGTTCTTGTTTAAATAATTAACGCATCTCCTTTTAGTAAGTTGAAGACCTCGGAAGGATATTATTCTATTGATCAATATCTCTTATTTTTAGTTTAGACAACATTTCCAGTAAAAGCACCTTAGACACCTGTCTTTTTATATTGTTTGAAATTCAATCACAGCAGCGATCAATATTATATGACCTCCATTTTTATCTTTTGTTAGAATGAACCTAGTATTAGTGTTTTGTAATAGAACTGTAGATATAATTGATGCAATTTTAATTTCAAGTTATTCTAATAATTTACATTTTATCAAGAAAGCTTTAACGTAAATTTCAGGTTTTATAGCCAAGTGGTTCTGGAGAAGAGGAATTTAAAGATTTTTTCAAATATATTTCAATGTAACACTTTGATCCCCAATTGTGATAAATCGATTCCTCCCGGGAAATGGTGGAGGATTGTCAAATCAATATCAAAACTTAATAAAAATTATGAACCATTACCACCATTAAAATCAAATGGAAAACTTATTTTCCATCCAGTAGAAAAAGCTATAGTTTTAAATAAATATTTTGCCCAGGTTTCCTCCATTAATAACGAACCAGATATTCCTCTTCATGGACCCGGTCCACCACAACAGAATAATAACATTTTTCCTGAAATAATTATCACAGAAGCTGAAGTTTATGATCAATTATGTATCATTGATAACAGTAAACCCCCTGGTCCTGATGGCATATCTCCAAGAGTGTTAAAAGAAATTTCCATTTCAATTAAAAAGCCTCTTACAAATCTCTTCAATATGTCATTAAGGGAAAAAAAGCTACCAGACATCTGGAAATTATCACAGATTACACCCGTCTTTAAAAATAAAGGGAGATCTCAAGAAGTATCTAATTATAGACCAATATCTCTTACAAGTGTTCTGTGTAAAATAATGGAAAAAATACTTTTTAAACATTTACATAATTTTATGAATGATAATAATATAATATACAAATATCAGTCTGGTTTCCAACCTGGAGATTCAACTGTTAATCAACTGGTAGAGATATATAATACTATTATTTCAAATCTTGATAAAGGAAAAGATGTAAGATTTATCTTTTGTGATATTTCAAAAGTTTTCGATAAAGTATGGCATAAAGGCCTGTTAACTAAGCTAAAAAATTATGGTATTAATGGCAATGTATTAGGTTGGATTGAGATTATTTGTCTGATAGACAACAGAAAGTTGTAATAGATGGTTTTACATCAAACCCTGAAACGGTAAATGCTGGTGTTCCTCAGGGTTCTGTTCTGGGACCATTTCTATTTCTTTTGTACATTAATGATATTTGTGATGATCTAGTTAATAATATAAGACTTTTTGCTGATGACACTTCTTTATATGCTATTGTAGACAATGGAAATGTAGCACAATCTCTTACTGATGATCTAGAACACATTGATAAATGGTCAAAGAAATGGATAGTTGATTTTAATCCTAACAAAACTGTGAATTTAAATTTTAATAGAAAAAATCTTGTATATTCTCCTGTTAAATTTGGCGAACATGGCCCAGATATTATTCAGAAAAATTCTCATACTCATCTAGGCTTACATTTTCAAAGAGATGCCACGTGGACATCACACATACAAATAATTCATGAAAAAGCTACAAAAAGATTAAACATTCTTAGAATGCTTAAGTATAAGGTTACACGTAAAACACTTGTTAAAATATATTTTGCATTTATTCGACCTGTAATGGAGTATTCTGATGTTGTTTGGGACAATTGTTCTGAAAAAGATTCTAAACTTTTAGAAGACATACAAGTTGAAGCAGGCAGAATTATCACTGGATTAAGATGTAACTCTTCTCGTTCAAAATTGTATGATGAACTAGGATGGGATCTTCTAAAAACAAGGAGAAAAATTCATAAGCTTATATTGTTTTATAAAATTATTAACAGTTAATTATTCCCCTCAATATTTGTATGACTTGATTGAACCCTATCGCCCATCAATTCATTCTTATAATCTCAGAACCAATGTTGTGCAATTCAAAATTCCTAATATTAGAACAACATCTTATATGGAAAGTTTTCTTCCCTCTACAGTCAAACAATGGAATATCTTGCCAGATTATATTAAAAATGCTCCTGGAATATGTTCATTTAAGAGTCTCTTAAAATCCTATTTTTGTAGAAAAAGTAATGAACTTTTTCATTTTGGAGTAAGAAAATATAATATAATACATTGTCAGATAAGGAATAATGCTAGTAATTTGATGGCAGATTTATATAATCAATGTTTAGCAGAAACTCCAATGTGTGAACATTGTGCTGGCAGTATTGAAGATGCCTATCATTACTTTTTTGTATGTCCAAGATATACAATTCCAAGAAGTGTACTTTTTCAATCAATACATAATATTATAAATTGTGACCATATATCTGAATGTGATTTATTGATAAATGGTAGTTCTAATCATGGACTTGATATTAATATACAAATATTTGAAGCTGTACATATATTTATAGCAGCAACAAAGCGATTTATATAATCACTGTCATATACATATGTGGTATATTGTAATACTCTCAATATTTCCAAACCGGTACTACTTTGTACTCTTGCTTATTTTTTATTATTTTTCTTTTTTCTTTCCTTTTGTAATTTTGCTTCTTTTGCCTTCTGTAACTTTGTTCATTTTTGTTTTTGCTTTCTTCTTTTGTACATTCTTACTTTTGCTTTAATAATTAATTTACTATGTATTTGCCTTGACCTTGATGTAGGGAGAGGGCTAAAATAGGCTGAGCCTGCTGCCCAATCCTATTCACTCTTACATCTGTGAATAAAATATTGTTTAAATTAAATTTCTTTCCTTCTTATCCTCAGTGTCTATGATTTGAAGAATTTTGAATCTACATTATGAAATATATGGAGATAACAAACAGTATTCAAGCTCAAAAGTCCATTAATCAATACAAAATAGGAGCAGAGCAAACACAGACTTCCAAACATCAGAGGTGGGTTCAGGTGCCATGGAGGAGTGAGCATCCCCTGCCGACCGGTCACACCCGCCATGTGCTCCTTGTCATGATTGGGAAATAACGGAAGAATCCGTCGACAATTCAATTATCTCAAGTTTTATCTATTTTGGCCTAGTGGCTTTTAAGAAAAAAAAAAAAGATTTTTAATTACCCATCCCTAGTTTTACTTTTTCTTGATTATTGACATTTGAAGTGGACAATGGAACTTGATCCTTCATATCAACAATTTAGAATTATATTCAACCATGGATACTTTGTACCAGGTTTTGTTGAAATTTGCCCAGTTGTTCTTGAGAAGTTGTAAATGTGTAATATTTACTAACAGCGGATGCAGGACAATAGGTGGGCAGAAAATCTCACTTTAGCTTACAGCTCAGGTGAGCTAAAAGGGGGCCTTTCAATGAAAATCTCCATACTTAATTTACAGCAAAAAATACTCTCAGAAATCAACTTGCTTTTATGCATACATGGCCCTGTCTCTAAATAAACCCTAGTAAAATCTTCTGTCTACTTATGAGTGTTTCCTAGAGAAACTTTCTCCTCCTTGATACCTGATCCCACTTCTGATGTTTCCACGTGTCAGTGTCTTTTGTCTTCTTCACGATTTGTATTGTTTAAAAGATTTACAAGATCAATCATTATTCGTTATCTTCATA